CGCGACATGAGTAAAAAATAATAATTATTAAATGTAAAGAGGTATTATGTGTAAAAACAAAATATTTCACTTACAGCAAATTCGAACCCCGTTTGTTCAAGGCTGTCTTCCTTGGACCATTTCACGTCGTACTGGAACGGTGTCTTGTACGGGTAAACTGGGGGGTTCCACGTCACATTAGCTGTAAAGCGATAGTCCTGTTGCCCTGTCATATTGCCCTCGATTTTCACATTACTGACCATTCTGTCTTTTAATGGAGCGTAAGGAGGGTCAACTGCACAGAGTCAAAGATTAAAAACGACAACGATCAGATTTGAATGTGAGGCTTAATCAAAGCGACTGTAAATAGAGCTGTGTGTATGATGTCCGTATAAAACAGTTAAATTTAATACACAAAAAATGTTCATTTGATCAAATTTGTATAAACACTTTGCAAAATGGATGATCTACTAGGCCTTGTTAGTTATAACCGTCAGGCGGAAGGACCTCACTAACCTAGACCCAGTTATATACCCAACAGGCTATCGTATCTCAAAGGTTTACAAGGTTCCTTCAGAAAGCATCTCTGTTTGTACGTGAAAGAACGAGATCTGTCGGGGCTTTGCACGGGTGGCTTCAAACTATCAAAAGATGTTTTTTTGACCGATGAAAATAAGTTTGCATACTTACACTTATAGCATTCACTTGTGGGAAAGTTTGTGATGTTTTGACAACCTGAAAGTTGCACAGATATACATTACATCATTAAGTTCAGCTCCTAAATTGAAGTTAAAGGCTGCAGCCAAGATATATCATGTCATGTAATAAAACGGCATTAGGCTCCTCTATCTAGTACATGGGTAAACTTCCATGCGCTCAGCTAGTCTGCAATCACCATTAAAACAAAAACGTGCATTCTATTTTATTACAACGCAACTATAGTGAAAAAAAGGACGGTATTTGCTTTTGCGTAATGACACAGACAATATGAATTTAATTTAATCATTCTGCGTCTCTTCCAGTTTTAAGATATGACTACAGCTTTTTCTTACCGGCAGTAGAATATCATTACAAAGACAACAAAACCAAGATTCGTATAGTCAAGTCNCCGTATAAAACAGTTAAATTTAATACCCAAAAAATGTTCGTTTGAGCAAATTTGTATAAACACTTTGCAAAATGGATGATCTACTAGGCCTTGTTAGTTATAAACGTTAGGCGGAAGGACCTCACTAACCTAGGCCCAGTTATATACCCAACAGGCTATCTCAAAGGTTTACAAGGTTCCTTCAGAAAGCATCTCTGTTTACGTGAAAGAACGAGATCTTCCGGGGGTTTTCACCGGTGGCTTCAAACTACCAAAAGATTTTTTTTGACCGATGAAAATAAGTTTGCATACTTACACTTATAGCATTCACTTGTGGGAAAGTTTGTGATGTTTTGACAGCCTGAAAGTTGCACAGATATACATCACATCATTAAGTTCAGCTTCTAAATTGAAGTTAAAGGCTGCAGCCAAGATATATCATGTCATGTAATAAAACGGCATTTGGCTCTTCTATCTAGTACATGGGCAAACTTCCATATGCTCAGCTAGTCTGCAATCAGCATTAAAACAAAAACATGCATGCTATTTTATTACAACGCAGCCATGTAGTGAAAAAAAGGACGGTATTTGCTTTTGGGTACTGACACAGGCAAGATGAATTTAATTTAATCATTCTGCGTCTCTTCCAGTTTTAAGATATGACTACAGCTTTTTCTTACCGGCAGTAGAATATCATTACAAAGACAACAAAACCAAGATTCGTATAGTCAAGTCGATTGTTTGGGGTGGTGTATATGCGACGTATTTACCTGGATATGTGTAGTTAAATACTGTGGGATAGCTCACACTGCAGCCAACTATAGAATAAATCTAGTAACAAAGCACACGGCATAATCATAAGTACCTTTCAAAATCGAGTAACCAAGATAATTATACGCTATACAAATTAAATCGGAAGCCAACATCATGATCAGCGTTTAAGATCACAAAGGAAGATATCAACCAGAAAAATGTTTTGGCTTTTCCTACCACAGAATAACTTTTAGAATGCCAGCTGTCAACATTCATAAGTCCACAAAAGTATCTCAACAGCGTTTACGCTACATTCGACAAGTATTCAGTAACAAAGATCTTTTAACATTTTATTGAAAATAAATCGGCCGTAGTTTTCCTTTGCTTGATGAAACAATGGCAAATATATATTTTTATTCCTGCTTTAACTCTTACTTCCAGTGTGTGGATGCATTTCAAGGACTTGTGAGAAATGTGCATTGATAAAGTTGCCTATAACAAAGAGGAAAATGTTATGAGCACTTTCTTGTGTGTAGTACTACTGGAAGGGCAAGGCAGGTAAGTGAGCTGTAAGTAAGATTATAAATTATGTTAATTAATTATTGTTAATGAACTGCAAGTGTAAAGGCTGTATAGGTAAAAGCATACCAAAGTAAGAATATACATTTTTTTTCATTCTTTCATCCTGTTTATTTGCCTTTTTTACTTAATATATAGTATAGTACTTGTAGTATGCCTGGAATTGTCTTCAGACATGAAGGACAAGAGATTGATATTTTATAACAGACTTCTTTGGTACAATGTTTTGGAAAAGCAATTCCCGAAAATATTTCTGAACGGTCCATTTACAAAATTCGCACCGCTCAGCAGGACCGTAGCTTGCAATAGGCAACTCATGCTGAGACACTTTTCTCAGTCATTTTTATTACTACTTTTTTT